CGGGCCCGGCCCGGCGGAGCTCCCGGCCCGGCCCCGGCAGGCCTCCCGCCTCCGGGCTGCCGTGCCCGCGCGGGCTGGCTGGTCGGTCCAGGGGCCCCGAGGTCGTAGGTTGAAGCTGGCAACCGGAGTGAGACCACTTTGCGGCCGCTTCAGTTGCTGTCACTCGTGCTGGAGCGCAAGCCCAACTTTCTAATAAAATGGGTGGCAAACTTTGCGGCACCCAAAGGGTCTGACTGCCTGTTAAAGATCGTCCTGAATAATAACATTTGCGGTTGCAACTGAAGCATCTAGTTCTTCTCCAAAGTCCAGAAAAGGCAGATTTAGATTCAAAGCTTTGTGTCTGACTCCAGTTTCTTAAAATACTACCCTAGGTCTTCCACAGTACCTTTCAACCCCCCATATGCCAGAGCCCTGTGCAAAGCGGGGCTGTGCAAACCGAAGGAATGCACCCGTGTTCAGGAAACTGGCAATCCTGTGTACGATGGGCACGTTGGACAACAGTTTTGATTGCGAGTCGGACGCCGGGCCAGCAGTAGAGGATATAAAAGCCTGCTTGCAATAAATATCCCCACTACCCAAAACCAGTGTTTGTAAGCGATGCTCCCACATTTTACACAAAATCCGTGTTGTAGTCTCTGCTTTGATGTTCAGAAAGCCTCTGCAGATGTCCCAAGCAATCTGGGCGAGAACTTCCTCCTCAGTGAGCATGATTTCCATCCACAACTGCATTCCCCCAGAATAAAGAAACGCTGCCAACGGGGTTGCTTGTGAGTGCAGAGCTGGACTTGGGCGGTGTGAAATTCGCTTTCATGGGAGTTGAAAATGAATAGAGCCTTCCCTGCATTTGAGACTACCTGTGTATCTTATCTCTTTGACTTAGCCTTTCCTTAATAATTTCTTCCCTGGACACCTGCTCTCACATGTGCAACAGCAAACATGGAAGAAAATTTCTGGAACTTATCAAGCTGCTTCCCTAAAGGCTAGAAGAGAGATTATTACTTTTATAAAATACTTGGGAGGCTCTCGGATATTGAAGGCAGAGAAAGCTGGAGAAGTGGGAAAATACTGTTTGATGGGTAATGAACCATCATTTATTCAATAAAGTTCATG